TTTCAGCAGAGCTGGCAGCCCACGTACATGGCCTCCCCTTCTGTGCCACTGGCACTCGCAGGGACAGGGAAGCGCTGCCACTGTCACTTGTCACTGCAGCTGAAAGGGGGCTCTGAGCACCTTGCAGAACCTGACTGAACCTATCGGAATTCGCCCTAAGCCTAAGTATGGCTGACAAATAATTTTAYTATCTTTGAGCGCAATATATGAAAATTCTCAACACCAGGTCTATATGGTTTTACATATATATGTATATAYACACACACATACATATACATATATATATACAATTTGTATGGAAGTGGCAGTGTGCAATTGGCTTCTGAGGTGGAAAACAAATGAAGGCTGTTGAAGTTTTAAACAGGTATTCAGTAATAAAACATCTATTGCTCAATTAAATTAAGCCACTCAGGAATCCTTGTAACCAGTGACATTTTCTCAACAGAGAATTAAGCAGTCAGATTTGAATACCCTGTAATTACTTTATTCTTTAACTATCTACCGAGATTCCCAGTTTCCATAACAACCCAGAATTTTAATCTAATAGCCAAGCAGAAGCTGAAGAAGTGGCACTCATTTAGTATGTGCATTTYCTTCCTTTAATTAAGGTGTTGTTAATATATTGCTGATAGCAGCAGTATTGATGCACATACAATGACCTCTGTATAAAGTTAACATCCGTCAGTTAGCAAAATTACTCTATTTTCTATTAAAAAAGAAATATAAGCTAAAATTTTTGATACCACTGGCTTGAAATAAAGGGCGTGGATCTTCTTTGCTTCTGTGCTTTCATGCTTTTTCATGCACCGAAAGGCAACTAACTGCTATCACTGATTTGGCAGTCTCCTTTTCATAAGTGCAAATTGCTATTCAGGAAGCTGAATAGAAGAGGGCTCAAAGAGACAGCAAGTTTAGGAGAAAAATCATCAGGGCACAGTTTGACAACTCACTTTCTTGCAGCTGTACCAGCACAAATGCTTGTGCAGCTGGTGTGAGGAACAGAGCTGGAGAATGAGTCCACGTGAGAAAAATTACCTTTATTTGCTGGCTTATTTTTCAGATGGGCTTTTTAGATGGATGGGGAGGAGTGGGCTGGGCTGCGTCCTGAGGGAAAGGGGACACTAGGAGACCCTGCTGCGGAGGGGATGGCCAGCGGCTGCTACCTGCAGACACAACGCGCCACGTGGTCTCCCACCACGTCACCCCTGCATGGGCCGGCAACATATGTGTGGGAACATACCTCTGGGAACGTATGTCCATGTGCTCCACTCATATCTCTTTTGTCTCTCAGTGTCCCTCAGGACATGGGGACCTTGTGGAGGAGCACAGTGCTAAGGAGATACTTTCTTATCTCCTTTCCCATTAAAAGAGGAAAAGATCTGACCTGTCCTACATGCAACCAAGGAAGAAGAGCGGCAGCTCCCTGGCTGCTTCACTAAAGTCAATAAAATTCAGCTTAGAACAGTTGTGGCAGCAACTTACCATGATGGATAATGCTGTGRTCCAATAATTTCTGCACAAGTTTAATTGCCGTCTCTCGGTCGGAGGCCTCTTTATGGTCAATCAGCCAGTCAATCAGCTCTTTGGCAACGAAGCAGTTGGGATATGTCTTGAGGTGGTGCCTTCGATCCTTAATGACCTTTTCTTCGTGCAGTCTGAGCCTGTGGGTCAAATCACCTTGTGAATACCCTTTGCAAAGGATACRTAGCTAGCAGGAGTGGGAAAAGTTTGGCAAACGTCTCCAAGCTGGATCACAAGGAGGGCTTTGCAGCTTTTGAATGCAAGAGGAAAACTTTCCTTCAGATGTGCACTGCTAGGGGCYGGCTGCCAAACACTCCACATAAGCAATTTGTTATGCTTTTAAACCTAGTACATGGAAAAACCTCAGTTTCTGCCCAGCGGAAAAGACTAAAAATTGAAGAGCAGCACAACATTCTAAGCACGTTAACCTGTTTCCTGTATGTCAATTAAACTGTCAATAATTTAGAATTAATTTTTCTACATCACCACTAAAGCGGTCCATGTTGCTCTTTGATTTTGGAGTTTCACCACCACAAATTTTTTTGAACCTCATTCACTTTTCCAGCTGTACCTTCTTCACTGGGAGGGTAACCACATTTTGTCTCCAGCTGCACAGCAAGATCAGTGTTTATGMTTTAAAATTCAGTCGCAAAGCTCTTTCAACACAACACAATCTGGCCTGCAAAAGTTGCCTTCTACTCTAAATGAAGGGAAACTGATTTCCCACTCAGAGAGCTGGTTGCAAATGCTACCTGTTTGCTGCTCATGAAGAAATTTTATTATCAGATCTATCTGCAAAATCCCACTCATAAACTTGAAAGCAAGTCAGGCAGCTGTCTTTGAGATATGTGGCTTGGGGTGCAAATCTTGCTTGGAGAATCACCTTGCTAGGCAGTGAAAGTTTTGGGGTTCCTCATCTTTAGTCTTCTTTTTTTCCCCGTAATACCGTATGTAATAATGCCTATCAGTAATCTAATCGGATAGAGATTTTAAAGAGTTTTCTGTGTTTTAATTTATTACAGCTTCATTTTTTTCTAATGTCCTGTATATGAAGAAAGCATGAAAGCCACGTCTCTTGAGCTCCTGTATCACAAATGCAAATGTTGCCAGGATGTCCAAGTGCCCACAATCTGACCTTGTAAATACTCTCACCAGCTCCAGAGAARTTCTGAGCAATGCTGTAATAATTTAAGGGAGATGCAACTACCTCTGATTTCTCAAAAGATAACTGGTGCAGGACAGCATTAACCCAAGTCTCAAGAAGCACAGAGTAGGGGTCCAGCCATGATACCAACTTTCCTATCAATGYGATTCCTGTATGAAATCGTTATTTCTCTCTGGGATCAAAGACAGGCAAAATATTTGGTCAAAAAAAAATTAACGTTATTTGGGCATCAGACAAAGCTGAAGTAGCTTTCTGCCTAACAACATCTATATATAGTAACAGAGCAATAGTTGTGTTTTGCAGCACTTTAGCTTGAACTACACTGGAACGCACAGTCTGTGATACGAATTCAAAGCCAGATTTGCAAACATCATGAAAAAATGAATTCTTTTATATTAAAAACACAGATAAATCTGATTAGTATTCTGGAAGGAGTACTGGTAAGTATCCCATGCATTGTGAAATTCTCTGAGCTAAAATGTCTTTGCTTAAAACATGTTTTCCAGATGTTCTCTCACAGCTGTTGCCATACTTAGAAAGAAAGGCCTACACAGTTTTAATTATAGAACATRCAATTATGAATATTTTTCACTGAGTTTTRTATTTAAAATACATTTCAGGTTCTATTAATATTCACCATGTCTCATGTGACACACTACTCTGTTTGAACAAAAATATTGGAAAAGTGTGTAATACATATGCTAAAGGCTCAAGCCACCTCTGAGACACTGGCAAAGGTGTAAATGAATACAGCGGATTTCACACAAAACCTGACCGTGCGGGGAACCGATTCCCCCAAATTCTTTGCACAATCCACGTGCTAAGGTGTGCCAAGACTGGTATGGTATTTCGCAACCAAACAAACAGCCAAGAKCACCAGAAACTGAGGATTTATGTCTTAAATTCTGACTGGAGGCTTTTCTGCAGTGGGTGGACGACTTACAGGTGTTTTCCTTTCTGGTTCTCTCTCATGTCAGAAGATATGCACTCCCTCTACACTCCTTCTCCCTCAGAGCATTTTCAGGGACTCTCCTGTGCTTTTTGCCTATATTCCTTAGACTGGCAGAAATTTCATTACCGTAATTATCTCCACCCACTTGCTAAATTGGATCCAAATTTGCTAAGATGTTACAAAATCATTAAACCAGACGGAGCAGGATGACGTAAGCTTCCAAGAAACCAGGCTGAAAATCAAATCTATCCATGTTTCCCAAATGGAAGTGGGAACTCATTCTGCCCTGCATAGCAATGATATCCGTATTGCATCATTTCCAGGCTGACTGACTTGGAAGGAAGATGGGAAAGGGAATTTGGGCTTTTCTATCAGGTAGTGCACACTGTTCTCTCTAAGTCACGGCTCCTTCATCACTTTGAGCCTGCTAATAAACTGCATGGAAGAAAAGTAGTTCAATAAAGTCTACTTTATATCTAGTGCAAACCATAAATGTAAAACCCCCAGCTAAAGCCACTGAGGTTATATTTCTGCATACAAATCAAGTTTGGTCAGGAATTCTAAAAATGTGGCAGTGTTTAGACAAATTTATCACAAACCAAATGAAATGRGGGRAAAAAAGAGAAAAAAGAATAGCAAATGCAGTCACGCACACCGGGTCCAAGGATCMAGCGAGTCGGTAAATTCTTTATCCCTTGGCATCCACAATCTGGCTTCTCAGCAAAGGCCTCGATGACTTTCCTTTAAGTAATGTTAATCACATTTTGTCAGCTAGTCTGCACTATGACTGGAAAAGACATCATTTGACATCAGCCGTATTTCTCCAGCTTTAAGAGGTTTTTCTCAAGAGCTACTCAGGATTATGAGTTCACTGACAAAATCTGACCAATTTGAGGGGATGTGGGACAAAAGAGAGAAGACAGAGGGCAATGAGGGGAAATCTTGATTGAACAAGCCTTTAAAAAGTCATCCCTCTTTCTACAACTTTAAAAGCTTAACTCTAGAAAACAGCCTCATGCACTCCAGTGCAATGTCATCCATATATAGTTCCATATGTTATTCAAGATTACAGGAGAGATTTTGCACTAGGCATTACAGTCTCACCTACCTGCAGAAAATGAAGTGAGAGCTAAAGTACTTGAGCAATTTCCTGGCACGGGTATAAGTGACCCTTTAATATTTACAAATTGATACCCACGGCTCACATTCCTGCTGACAGCAAATAAAGGCAGTCTGTATTTGCATGCACGCCTGCCAAAACAGTCTTCCTGGGGGCTTGTCTAAACAGGAGCTGCTCCTAATTAACAACATGTAGGAACTCTTACTCCAAGTAAGACCTCATGGACGTGGCTAATCCAGAACAACGTGCTCCTGTTTCACAGTAAATTGTGCTCAGAGTTAATCAGGAACAGTGTTATTTATAGAGAAGTTCTTAAGTGTTTTCTATACCAACTGTCAGAAAAGTTATGATACAGGAAAACTCAAAATCTTTGCTTAAGAAAGCAAGGGATTGACTTGTGAAGAAAGAGCTCTCTCAGCTACCTGATGTTTACTTTTTATTTTCTGTTAGGAAGTTACATATAGGATCACAGAATCATTAAGGTTGGAAGGGACCTTTACAGATCCTCTAGTCCAACCCCCCTACACACGCAGGGTCACCTAGAGTATGTGGCACAGGACTAAATCCAAGCGAGTTTTGAAGATCTCTAGTGAATATTTCTCGAGACATTTGAAGCTTATCGAACTTTTCTTTGAATCAGCTAGACAGGATTCTGCAAAGGCAGCAACAGCACAGGAGTCTAATTTTGTTTCTAAAGCCCATATATGGCAAATATGCCAGATAAAGACAGAACTGATATCATTAACCAGATGTACCATCCAAATTATTTTATACAGTAGTTTGTGTTTGACTAACACATACATTGCAGAATGTCATCCAATCCATCTAAGAATTAAAAATAAATAAATAAAAACTTGGTAATTTTCTGAATAATTCATCTGCCATTCCCTAGTATACTCTATATATCCCCTGCTGCCCTGTCCTAGGAAAGCTCTGAAAAAATGTGGAGGAACAGTTTGGTTCTGACACTTGATAGACAATATAGCAGGAAGCCTTATGCTCTGAGTGTCATTCATTTGCTTCCCTTAAAACAGTCAGATTCCTTCCCAAAACAGTCTTAAACACACACACACAGAGTATCATTAGGGAAGTGCATTTGTTTAAAAAAAAAAAAAAAGAAGAAAACTTCAGTGAAGAGAAAGTTTAAGGTGGCCCCAACCACTTATGCTGCTTCCTTCTGGAGCAGACCGCAAGTGATCCTGCCGCTTCACCCCAAGGAGTTTGAGAGTATTTAAATCTTCCATGGTCTCTTCCATGGACATTCTCATTTACAGATGGGACAACTCTGGTATGGTGGCTAAAAAGCACAATTTTCCTATAACTGTTCTCAAATGTCAACTAAGGTGTTCCACTGGTAACTGAATTACTCCTTTCCAATTAAAAAACAGAAGGGAAAAAAGGCCTTTCTTGAGGTTACAAAGTTGGTTGGTAGAAAGGAGGATATAAATGACAGCATATGATCTATCTACAGCACGGTAGGGGCTTACCCATGCTGGCATTTTTTAAAGTCTTAGTGACTTAGAAGCATAATTCCCATTGAAATTAAAAATTCACAGCTCAGCTGCAGACACAATGCAATACAAAATAAGGCAGCACCTGCTGGTATTTGGGTATATATCAGCATCCAGGGGAATACACAACTGCATGAGGTACTTAGATATAACAGATACCTTTAAATAAAACTTCCGCCCTTGCACTGTCAGCAAAAAAGTAGGTCAATGATGACAGAAACTTTGTACACAGAGGCAACCACGAAGGTACTTGCAGATGCAACGTGCACTGCTGGGACAAGCACTTCCAGAGAGGCTTGCCAAGGCTCGGCTGAAGTGTCAGCGGTTGGTGGTTGCCTGTTCCTCTTTCTATTTATGCTTCAGCTCTGCTGTCATTTACTTCTGTTACGTGT